ATAATATATATATATTTAATACTAAGATTACTTTAGCACTAGATAAAGATTCTTACGTTTAATACTAAGATTACTTTAGCACTAGATAAAGATTCTTACGTTTAATACGGAGATTTTGGGGAGATTTTGAAGCATTTTCCATTCCCGTCTCAGATATTCCATACTTCCTACAATCACTACGTGTTTCAACTCATGGTAATGAAAGTTACTGGCACGTAGCGGCATTACCAAATTTCTGAGTCCAATCAAAGGTGAGTCGGAATCCGCAAAAAGACAGACAACCACGTGACCATTTAAAACTGTCATTGCTGCTTGATTACGATCCTAAGAGCGAGAGAGGTAGGTTATGAATTCATGTCTTAAAAAAAACCTTAACTGGTCTTGTCAGCAGTCTTATAATATAAAGCACTCACTATCCACAGACAGAGAAGTATACAGAAGTACGTTTTACATTCACACAATAATAATAACCTAAACTGGTTTCGTCAACAATCTTAAATTATACATAGTTATTGTCCATAAGTTACCTTAATAAAACTTTTGTATTAAATGAAGGTCATTTTTAGTGTTTATAATCAACCTATAATTTTACAACAAGGGTATTTTTATGATGAAAATCGCCGGCTTGTCCTAAACAGTATCGCCGATGACATTTAAATTATTAGTTACTGGAATTAAACCTGACTTACAAAAATAAATTGTGGTTGTTGTGAATTATACCTGGAATTTGTAGCTGTATCCAAGTCTTGTATTCTTTAAGAATTATAATTTCATTCATTACTAAAAGATCATATATAAACATGTGTATTCATACCCTTTGCACCTGATGATGAACGTTATAGGGTTTTGTGTTAAATTGATTTTTTTTTACCTCTATGTTTTTCTGACATCATGAATTTATGCATACTTACATGTGCGTGCATAGGCCAGGTTGGCTACTGAGCTTTAGCCTCTCTCCCGAAATTTCACAGAACAGCATTTTTTTAATAGCTTACTCGCGGTTTCTTTGCAACGCAAATCAGATAATTAGGTCGTTTGCTTACTAACTTTTAATTTGAATACTTTTAATTACACTGTGTAGTGGCACGTTATATGTGTTTTTCAACAGACAGCGAAAGGCAATTGGAGTTGAGACGTTGTGGGTTCAAGAACTCAACTCCTAACCCTTAACTAATTCTCCTTAGTTGCTGGCAAGTTTTCATCGGCCTTTCGATTTTGCCTAATAGATGAAATATCTCCAAAGCATTTGGGTGCTATAACTACAGGCATTATTCTTTCGTCTTAAGGACGACAGCAAGGAATGGTAGGGAAGGCGTGGTTTTGAATTTCAATTATATTATGTTGTTTCT